GGTTTCAGCTATGCAAGAGGCTTTCACAAACCTTATTTTCATGTAACGCTTCACAGAAAATGTGGCAGCTGGACAATGCCGGAGTTATTTATGCCAATTTTACAAATAAAAGAGCCAAAAATATTAAATTCCTCCTCAATGTCAAAGTCAGTCACGCTCTATCACCGAGTACACTGCAGCTCCGTGAAAAAATTAAAGCATGCTTTGTTCAAAGATTTACTTTTTTTTTTGGTGGAACGGGGGATTGAACTCAGGCCCTTGCGCTTGTCAGGCAAGCACTTATTCTACTGAGCCATCTCCCCAGACCCAAAAGATTTACTTTTAATAGTCTCAAGAGAACAAGGTATAAAGTGAGAAAAAAAAATTTTCCAGTTACAGTTTCACTGTATACAATGACAGTGAGGGGAACATCTTCATTTCAAATTTCCCCCGCACATGCACACAGAGAACAAAAGGATTCCGAGCTCGTTGTTTGTGTTTGTACCAAGGATCAAACTCAAGACCCTGCGCTCGCCAGGCAGGCGCTCATGCCTCGGAGCCGTCTCCCTGGCCCCTTTACCTTGTATTTTGAGATGAGGTCCCCATGGCTGTCTCTTTGTCCCAATAACTGTTCAGCTCTCTTCATGTACAACTCAAGCTCCCTCTGTGACTCTTCCACCTTGCGCTTAACGTCCGACTCCAGCGACGTCTCAGTTGAGTTCTTCAGTGCTGCACTGAGTTTTACCATAGTGATCTATAAAGGCAAAACGACAAAACAAAACAGCACTCACAACTGGCCCAACTTCTTAGTAAATCCATAAGCTAATTGTTTTTTTCCAGTACCAATATGTATTTGTCCAGTAGACACAGGCATATTTATTACACTTCCATATTCAGTATACTCAAAATCATAAAAAAAAAGAAGGCCTCACAAAACATTTCCAAGGGTCAGGGCCATCGACCCTCTTCTGCATCCACTAAACACTCCATTTTAAGAAATAAATTCGCATCAGCCAAATAGCTCAGCAGATTAAATCTCGGGGCCTGCCATGCTGGCCCTGCCCCCAGGGCAAACTGAGACTGGTCATGGCGTCACAGGCCTATAATCCCAGCTCTTGGGAAGCCGTAGACAGGCAGATCACTATGAGTCCGATCTAGTAGTGAGACCCTGAACACCCTATAGCCCCTTCCCTAAAATTAAAAAAAAGTTTAGGGGGCCAGGGAGATGGCTCAGTAGAATAAGTACTTGCCTGGCAAGCACAAGGACCAGGATTCAATCCCTAATTCCACCAAAAAAAGAAAGAAAGAAAGAAAGAAAGAAAGAAAGAAAGAAAGAAAGAATATGAAAGAAAGACCTGGATTTTCTCATTAGCTTCTTGAATCTTCGCTTGAAGGCCAACCATGAGCACATGCTGGAGAGACTCTGGGCCTGAAATATTTTGAACATCCATTTGCAAAGCATCTTCAGTTCTGGCCAGAAGTTCTTCAAACATAGAGCCTTTGGCACAGAGGTGCTACAAAACAAATTAAAGCGACATCACAGTACAACATTTGGATCACATGTTAACACATTAACAATAGCATCAGAAAACCATAACATGCTAATTATTCACCCAGAAGGAGGAAAATCTGCATTCTGACCACTGTTACTTTAAAATCCATTTTGAGCTGGGCACAGGGGCACATGCCTATAATCCCACCTGCCCAGCAGGCTGAGGAAGGAAAACTGCAAATTCAAGGCAAACCTGGGTTATGTACTAAGACCTTGTCTCAAAATAAAATCAAAAATGGGTTAAGAGTACCACTCGGTGGCAGAGTACCTGCCTAGTGGGTTATTCTTCCTATAGTAAACACTTCAATAAAATAAAGAAAAAAATTAATTAATTAATTAAAATAAAATAAAGATAAGAAAACAACACCAATAGAAAGAAATACATTGAGAGGACAGTAATCTTAAATGAAGCTTTTCTAAGCCAAGCTAGTAGGGAAGGAATCAATAAATGTTACTAAAGAAACTTATCTCTAGAAAATAATCTTTTCAAACTATGCCTTCTGAGAGAAAACCTACTGGTAGAATAGAAACCAGTCGCAAATTACAGCTTCCCCAGACTTAAGAGTCACGGCACCTGGAAATGCTAACGCTAAATGTTGGACTGAACGGAGGAAGAGACTTCTTGGCGTTGGGAAAGAACTGACAGGGAAGCTACGATTCGTGGAGAACACAGAGCGAAGAAGAAGGAAGCCATCTGAAACGCTAAGCCCGGTTCCCAGGCAGGAGGCCTGACGCCACAGACACAAGTGGTGCGTAGGCTCGAGCCTCCAGAGACGGCCAGACGATAAGACGCCCAAAGAACAGTAACAGAGACACGCCTCCCGGCGGGCACAGAAATCCCGTAAAGGGTGATTTTAAAAATATGGTAGGTGTCTGAATTCAAAGAAGCTACTACGATAACCCACATAGTGTGGGGCACACCTGTAATCCCAGCACTCAGAAGACTGAGGCTGGAGGAGCGCCACAAGTCTGAGGCCAGCTGGGCTACACGGTTAGTTCAGGACCAGTCTGAACTACATAGCAAGACCCCGTCTTAAAAAAAAAAAAGGTTACTACCCTAAAAGGCACATCACTCTTAGTGTCCCCCGCAAAACACTCTCCCTCAGCACGCACTCGCTTCCCATCGCTCCTGCCACTTTCTGAAGCAGCTCTGGAAGCCTTTTGACAGCATCCTTATGACATGCGATAAAACTATGGCAAACGCTGCTGCCGAGGGCCCTCCAGCAGAAGGCAGGCCCTCAGCGCAGTCTCACCCACCCAACTCACTAGACCTGGCACCATGTGACTTCCAGCTCTCCCCTGAAGTCAAAATGACAGCGACACATTTTAAATCCATTCAGGCCAGGCATGGTAGTGCACGCCTGTAACTCCAGCACTCAGGAGGCTGAGGCAGGAGGATCTCTGCGAGTTTGAGATCAGCCTGGGCTACAAAGTGAGCTTAAGGCCAGCTTGAACTGCAAAGCAAGATTCTGTCTTGAAAAGGACAATAAATAAAATAAAATAAAATTGTAAAACATCAATTCAAGGCACAGAGGCAGCCACAGCAGCGCAACTAAAGACACACATGAAAGAGGACTTTAGGAACTGCTTCTGAAAGTTGTAAGAAAAACGAGGGGATAAACATGTCTGAGGAAAGGGAAATACTCTGAGGGGGATTCATCACCACACGTCTTTTACTGGAATACATTCTTCAAATTTTAGCATTTAGAAATCATACATCATAGGAACACAGGAAATACGAAAAATCAGGGCACCAAGATTCCTTCAAATCTCCGTAATTCATGAGGAACTGAACACAAAGAATACGAAAGTGGATGAAATGGCAGGTAAAGAATTCAAAATAGCTGAAGGAGAACATGATAAAGAACTTCAAAGAAGATACAGATAAAGAGCTGTGTGGCATAAGGGCCACAATGCAGGATGGGAAGGAGCACGTCAAAGGAGAGAGAGGTGCTGAAGAGGAAGGAAAGGAAATCCTGAAAATGAAAAGCATAGCAAGGTCAAGCAAAACCTCAGGAAAGTCTAACTCACACAGAACCAAGCAGAAGAGAATTTCAGAGCTTACAGATAATGCTAAGAAACTACAACACGCAGGTACTAAGAAAGGAAAACAAAAAACAAAATGCAGACATTATGGACAAAACTCTGGGACACAGTTTTTAAAAAATCAAGCTTATGAAATTTTGGTGTAGCAGAGGAAACCAAGGAGCAGACTAGCGGCAGAGAAGATGTGCTTCATGCAACCACAGCAAACTTCCCCAGCCTTGAGAAGGGCAGGAACTGCCTGTACTGCCGGCGCTGACCACCCCGATCAGGTACAGCGAGAAAAGAACTGACCCCACCCCATCATACTGTAAGCCAAACAGCAAGAGAACAGGACAAGGAAGAATACTGACAGCAGCGGGGGAGAAACCCTTGCCACAGAAACAAAGGCGTCGCTGCAGCTCTGTCCTCTGCAGCAGCCTCCAGGCGCAGGAGGGCCGCAAAGGTGTATTTCAGGTCCTGAAAGAAAAGAACTGACACCCTCCATTATGCCATCTGACGAAGTTACCCTTCAGAATCTGAAGTGTAGGCCTTTTCTGAGATAAGCAAAAACTAAACTTCATCTCCACGAAGCCAGCACTGCAGAAGATATTTCAAGGATCCGACCCAAGGAAGAGGAGGGACAGATAAGCTCTTAGGACAAAAATCAAACATGGGGAATACAACCCAGCGACAAGTAGTGGCACACACGTTTCTGTAATAATGCTGGGAGTAAACAGCCTCGTTCTCTAATTAAAAGACACAGGCGGGACTGGCTTTGAGGGAGTGGGAGTCTGGGGAGGCATTTGGCGGCCTCATTTTCTCCTGTTTGTATTTCTTTGTTTTCTGCGATGGAGGTTTGCAGCTTCTTTGGCCCAGCGCCTGGTTCTTTGGGCATGAGCCACACAGGATTGTCTATGACGCTCTTCCCAGGCAATCCAGATACGGGCACATTCAGAAAACCAACCGAGAGCACTAGTGCAAGGTTAAATATCGCACGGTGTGTCATATACAGAGAAAGCCAAAAATGGAGAGGGGACAGGAGAAGAGTGGGAGGGGGAAGGGAGGAAAGGAGGGGAGGGGACAGGAGGGGGAGGGAAGAGAAAGGTGGGAGAAGTGGGAAGGGGAGAGCGAGGGAGAGAAGGAGGTGAACAGCATGGGAGGGGAAGGGGAGGGGAAAGGAGGGAGGAGGGGAAGGGGAGGAGAGAAAGGGGGACAGAGGGGGAGGGAAGAGAAAGGTGGGAGAAGTAGGGAAGGGGAGGGGGAAGAAGAGGGGAAGGAGTGGGAGGGGGGCAGCAGTGGGAGTGGGAGGGGAAGGGAAGAGGGGGAGGAGGGGAGAGGGGGAGAGGAAGGGAAGAGAGGAAGGGGGGAGTGGAAGGGGAAGGGAGAGCAGGGAAAAGGAGGGGAAGGAGAGGGGAAGGAAGGGGAGGGAAGGGGATGGGAGAGGAAGGGAAGGAGGGGGAAGTTCTAGTAATTCCCACATGATCTAGTTGGTATTTGAAGGTGCATGTGAATGTGTTTCATTTATGCCACTCGCTTCTCCTCGCTCATATGTATCGGTTTCTTCTCTGTAAGAGTCTTCTGTGCCTCAGACGTGTACTCTTCACCTTTGGGCCATTCCTTTCAGATCATGATACATGGTGTACTAACTATTGTTATTCCCTAATTATTTTGTCACAAAATTTTGTTTTGCTTCATAGAAGTAGGAAGAATGCTTTTTATATTTTCTTTACAAATACCGACTTATATTACATTAAAATAAAAACCAACAGAAACTAAAAGATGGGATTGAGAAGCAAAACCCAGCCACTGTCCTGCACGGTGGCCGCCTTCGTGCTGTAGGGTGTACCTTTCCTACTTTTGCTCGGCCCAAACTTTCTCTGCAGAACCTGTTTCTTAAGACATGATTTTTAGTGGAAACAACTTATTATTATTATATTTTATTTTTGTGGCCAGCTCAGCCCGCCCTAGGGGCGGGGCTGGCATGGCATGTGGTGCCAGGCATTGAACTGTGGTCCCTGTGCATTTGCCTACGCAGGCGTTTTAGACCACCGAGGTATCTCACTGGTCCCCACAAGACATGATTTTTAGTGGAAACAACTTACTTATTTTTGAAGGATTTTTTTTTTGGGTACTTCAGGGTGCCTTAAGGACGGGTCCAGGGCAGCTTCTGGAGCTGGGCGTCGGTCCCCTGCACCTGAGCAGGGGCCTCAACAACTGAGCTAGCCCCCAGACCCCCTGCAGAGCCTGTTTCTTTCACATTTTTTGTTTATTTCTCTCCAACATGCCATGTAGAGTTTTGTTTTTGCATTGCTTTGTTCTTTTTCCTGTCTCTCCCTTGGGCTGTGGACCTCAAGAGACATCTTGAGGTGGGAACTGTTTCCTGCTTTTCTCACCATGCGTGGAGGGAGAGGGGAGTGCAGAGCCTCCATGTTTTTCTTCCAGCCTCAGGAGGCCCACAGGCCTTCTTGAACTTTCTCCTTTTCTTCTCTTTCCTATCTTTGGTCACTCACTGTGGCTATAATGCAATAAGCACAGCCAGAAAGCCCGTTATGAACCGAGTTTCAGAACGGACGGTTTAGACCTCATGTGTGCGGCCTACAGTCTAGGATGCTTGTGGGCCCTCACGATTATGGTCTCCTCCACGGTCCTTTACTCAGCTTTTTCATACATTTGAGGAAAATTCGCTGTTGGCCACTTGGTACCTGCCTGAGTAGCCTACTCTCCAAGTCTCTTCTGTGCTTTTCTCCTAGGTGGCCATTTCTTTCCCAGGATGCCATCTCTGTCAGTCACCATCTGTTCTCATTATGTGACCATCGGCCATCTTGTCACATGACTGGCCACCTCTTCAGGGCCAGCCATCTGATATTTCACCATGTTTATTTCCTTTCCTTGTTTCTTCTAACGAAATCTAGGCGATTTAGAAAACATATGCCTGAC